CCTGAGGGCCCAGCCTGTGCTCACGGCTGGAGAGCTGGGGCTTTGGGGGACCCTGCTGCTCCGAAAGCACTAGGGCAGCTGTTGGACCGAGCGGTGCGCTCCTCCCTGAGCTCCGTGTTGGCATTTGAATGCTGCTGTCACAGCACTGCTCTGCTCTTGGGGCTCATCAAGCACTGAGGCTGCAAGGCCACCCCCCCCCCCCCCCCCCCCCACACCACCGCACCGCAGACCCACGCCGCGCCTCCCTTACCTGCTCCCGAGCCGGTGGAGTCCTGCAGTGCCTGGATGTGCTGAGGCTGCAGAACATAACTCCAAATGGCAAAGGGAAGCCTTTTTATAGCTCATGAACTCCAGCGCTAGCGCAAAGCCTGGGGTGTCTAAAATCAAGAGACTCCTGCGCAGGCTACCCCCAGGTGAGACCTGGGACCTTCAGCAAACGCTGCGAGGGCCTGCGGGGACTGAGGTGCTGCCGGCAGCGCGTGGTGCCAAAGAAAGCCCCACGGGGAGGGATGCACAAGGACTTGCACAGCAGAGGAGCTAACAGATAAATGCAAGTCCAAATCACAATTCTGGAGCCTGGTGCAGCTCCAGGCAGGTGCTGGCAGGAGTTTAGCGAGCCAAGAGACTGCAGTGTGTCAAGGGAGGAGAGCTCAGAGACCTGCTCTCCTACACCAGCCTCGAGATGGGATTCCTGAAGCACTTCAGGACAAAGGGAATGAGAAGTTGTGCCAGCCCTGCAGGAACACACTGGGCTTCCTTTATCCTCCCTCCAACCTCAATAAAGTTCTTCCTTAGAGGAAGCCGATGCTGGCTACTTTCCGTACGACAGCTCAGTTGAATTTAAAGGTCGTAGGGTGCCTAGCGAGAAAGCGTGTCTAATAAAAGGCACAGAAACAACTGCAGTGCCAGCAGATTAAATTCCCCTAGCAAGAAGCTGAGCAGAGGGCTAACAGCCCTGGAAAGGTCACTCAGTATGAGATGCATTTCAAAGAAAGACAGGGACAAGGCAAACCCGGGAAAAGCAGTTGGGAAGAGATGAATAAAACAACACAGCATGTCCCAAGAAGCCAAACATTGGAGCAGGGGAGGCCTGGGATCCATGAGGCACAGTGGGCTCCTGGCCCAGCTCCTGCAGGCCCCAGGTAGAAGAGTTAGGATTCTGTACCCAGTTCAGCATTGCAATCTCAGCCCTCTTTGGTCTTACAGCCAAACTTTAACACTGGAACCGCTGCTGAGAAAAAGCAAGTGGGACACCGTCTTATGTTGTAGCTGAACAGTGACCTTCTTGCTGTTTCTGGGACAGCACACAAGGCTGCAGCGCCAGGAGGGAACTGACAGTGCCCTGTTCCACGCTCTTTCCAGCAGCCCCCAACCCAAAGACAATGATGCACCGGAGCCACAGAGCAAAGAGCATATCTCCCCTCTCCTCTCCAAGTTTATTATTACTTTAAACGTTCACAAAGTACACTGCTAGTCAGAGATCCAGCGGCACCGGGGCCTGTAACGGGGGTGGCCAGTGAGACCTGCAGCAGCTCTGGCCTGCCAGCCCAGAGAGAGATCAGTGAACTGCTGGACACGCTGGCCTGAGCAAACACGTGCAGAGTGAGCCAGCTTTAGAGGACCAGTGAGGTACGTGGCACCTGGCCGGACAAGGGGCAAGTCCGAGGACAAAGGCACAGCATGAGGCATGAGACCTCTGTCCTCCTGTGATGTTGGAGATCTCCTTGTACCTCTTGTGATCACGGGTCTGTTGCTGCCCCTTGTGCTAGCGGGCAGTTTCCAGCACCCTTGCAGGAGGGGTAGCAGGGAAAGCATGGAACTTGCTTTCTCAGCTCCTATAAAGCCAAGCGTAAGGAGCAAAGACCAGGCTAAGGCACAGGCTGGAGCAAGCCAGAGAGCAGGCAAAAGGCTGCTGTGGATCATTCATCTAAAAGCAACATAACCCAACTGCTTTGTCAGGTCCATTGCCAAGGGTTACACAGCCTGCCAGCTGCTCAGAGAGACTTTAGGGCAGTTGGTCCCTGCATTGCCAAAGCCAGCCAGAGGACAAACTGATGCAAGAGGGAACGGCTTTCCGGGGACAGTCAGTGGGCATGGAATTAGCACAGGCAAATCTGTGACAACAGGGGAGTTCCCTGGATGCAGGGGCCAGGTTTGATCGTGAGAGCAAAACATCTAAATAAACAAGGTCTAAAGTTGGCCGTACCATTCGGCAGGAGCAGCTGGCAGTGGCTGGGGATGCAGCACGTGGCAGCATGGCAAATAATGCTCTTTTTCTGTGCTGATGCTTCTGAGAAAGAAGAGTGATTCTCAGCCCCTTTGAAAGTCCTTAGGAGCTTCACTCGCCATGGTGGAGCCTGTCAGGGAACTGCACCCTCTCCACAGGTCAGTTAAGCCAAAAGCAACAGCAGCAAGCAGGGCAGGGCTGGTGTCATGCAATGTGGCCCCATGGGGCCAATAGCAAAGCTTGTCCTCTCCCAGCTGTGCCTCTGGCACAGCCTGTATCAATCAAGATGACCTGGCAGAGTCCCTCCGAGAACTCAATCCATCACAGCAAGAGAAAGTGAAAGGAGGAAGACGCTCGACCCTGCTCAGGGCAGACCCTAGACGGCAGCAGAAGCTAAACAAGCCCTTCAAAGAGAGAGGGAGATCAGCAGGTACCTCTGTGCAGATGCCAGGCTCAGGCTGGCAGTGTCCAGGGCTGAGAAAGGGAACCTCTGCCCTTCCAGCACTCTGCAAAGGCTCCCAGGAAATCCAGGCTCCTCACAAAGCTGTAGCAGCAGGAAGTTGGTGCAGGCAGGAGCTCTCCGCTCATCTCAGCGGGATCAGTGGGTTTGCAGGCAGAGCCCGCTTACATGTGCTCAGGGTGGTTCTGGAGACACTTGATGACATCAGCGATAGGTTTGCCCTCGTAGCAGATCTGATACACAGCTGTGAAGAGGGGGAACCTGTGGGCAGATGAACAAAGTCATCCCCTGCTTTGTCACCAGAGCTGGAGGAGTCAGAGCACCTCAACTGCAACCCGCAGGACCACTGGGCAGGTGGGACAGTGGCACGGTGCCTCATCCAAGAGGCCATCCCTGCCCAGCTGGATTGATGTGGGCAGTGCAGACATTCACCTCAACAGCAGAGACTCTAAGGGTGGGTTTCCCCCTCCCACAGCTGCTGGAAAGATCCCAGCCCCAGCCCAAAAGAGCAGAAAAGGGAGATGAGAGCACTCACTTCTCCACTGCATTCTTGCTTTTAAGGATGCGATGCAGCTCAGCAGCCGTCTGGGGACCCTGCAGCTTCTGCCCATTCAACATCTCCTTCTCCAGCTGCTCAATAGACTGAAACAACCCAACAGTGAGGGAGCTGGGCCCTGCAACCCCATCTGCAGCCCTGGGTTCCTTCCCTGGAGCCAGGCTGTGGCGCTTGGCAAGTGAAGGCAGGATGCCGAGGGTCTAATTGGGTCCATCCTGCTGCCAGCTCAGCAGGTTGTTGCAGATACCAACGTGGCCTGCTCCCGGTGCTGCTTACCTTCCCAGTCTTGGCGAAAGCCTCAGCCACCTTGCGGTTGCGGCCACCGTAGCAGGTAGTGATGAGGTCAGCGATCCCACAGCTCTCCAGGAAGGTGGAGGAGGTGACAGGGCCCTTACAGAAGAGTTTGGCGAAGGCAATCATCTCCATCAGTCCCAGACGGATCACGGCAGCCTTGGTGTTGTCTCCGTAGCCGAGCCCATCACAGAAACCAGCTCCTACAGCCACAACGTTCTGGAAAACAGCAGCAGCGTGGAGGGATCTCTTCCTGACGGAGCTCAGGACTTTGCTGTGTCCATGAGCTGCCTGGGTGATCCTGAGCACAGAGTCCTGCTGCGACCATCCTCCCTCTGAGCAGCTGAACAGGACACACACAGTTCCCCCCGAAGCCTGGCCCTTGACCCAGCTGTCTCAGCAAGCCACCCTGCAGTATCCAGCAGGGTTTATCCGACTGGCAGCCTCCTCTGCAGAGCCCTGGAGAACCACAGGCTCTGCTAACCAAGACCTGCAAACCCCGGAGATTGGCTCACCCACCTTGAGAGCCCCGCAGATCTCTACGGTGTCAGCTTCCTGCACCACTGTCACGCGGAAGTTCGGGGTCTGCATCAGCTCCTTCAGTGTCTGCCCGTGCTGCGTGTTCTTGCAGCCTGATGAGACGAAGATGGTGGGGGGAGACTCTAAGGTAGGACTTTGCCACTCTCCTGCTCACTGGTGTGCCCCTGCACCACAGCCCTCACAGCTAGTGCAGCGAGAGAAACCTGTTGCCCAACCGATGGACATTGCTAAACATTTGCAGGTCCACAAAGCGCCGAGCACACACTGCCTGGCAGATAAGCAAAGTTCAACCTTGGAATTCCCAGAAGATGGGGGACGATGCCTACTGCTGTGTCATGCGAGACGGAAGTGACATGCCCAGTAGATTAAAGGCATCTTCAGAGGTTTTGCAAATCTGGGTTTGGAGATCGCTGTTCTCCCTGTTCCTGCAGCATCCTTTGTGCTCACAGTGACAGATGATCTGCTTATGCCTCTCCAGCCTCCTGCGCAACTCGTTGGCTTTGCTTTAAAATACAGACGCTTTGAATCCCGTAACTTCTAACCCAGCAAACCCTTCTGTTGGGTTTGGCTGCTGTGCACGATTCACCAACCACGTGGAGGGTGTGGGAACAGGCACCAGATGAACTTTAAAGCAGCCCTGGCTGGCAAAAACCCAAGATCCAGGTGAGCATCCCTTGAAGCCTATGGCAACAAAGGTAGGAACTCTATTTCTAAAGGCCCTCTTGGTGCCCACCCCTTTAATTTGTGCCAGGCAGACTGCCCGATGCTCAGAGCCCACGCTGGCAGGAACTTTTAGACACACAACTCTGGTTTTAATGAAGCGAGCAGCACATCGTAAACCCTGTGAATGAGTTAATCCAGCTCTTATGGTGTCTCACTGCCTCCACAGGGAAAAAGAGAGAGCTCACCCTAGGCAGCAGGAGTTTAAGCTGCACCACGCTCAGCCCTTTGCCTCTTCCTGCTCTTTAGAAATGAAGGCTGCTAATGAGGAGGGTTGTTGGCTCCTTACCGATGGTTGTTTCACAGAACTTCTCTTCTGCCACTTCATTAGCAATGTTGGCCCCCATGAGGACGCTCATCTCTATTCCCAGTTTCTCGTGGATGATGTCTGAGATCAGCCTCAGCCCATCTGGTCCTTCGTCCACTCCCTGGGAGACCCAGGGACAGATGAGCACCTGCACCCCCCCGGGAACCTGCCCCAATCCCATCATTCCCTATGCCCAGCAGCTCCCTGGGCTCAGCTGCACCCCACTCCTCACCAATACACCTCAAAATCCCCACAAACTCTGCTCCTACTTCCCACTCTTCCCACCATAACCCTGGAGCCCAGTTTCTGCTCCAAAATCCCAGGATCCCCTCTGCAGCCTCTCCAAGCCAGACAGCTTCCAGCTGAGCCCACTGGGCCCTCCTGCACCCACCTTGATCAGTGACACCCCAACAGCATCTTTCTTCACGTGGCCCTTGAGCTGGTCACAGACTTTGCCGATAAACTGATGGGGCACCACGAACAGGAGGACATCGGCCCCAGCGCAGGCTTTCAGCAGGTCTGGCTCCGCTACCTGAAGAGAGCACGGCTGTCAGCAGGGACGCGTGCCCATGGCTGTGCGGTGAGGGTGTCCCAAACCCGGGACAAGGGGAGCAGGGGCTTGAGAGCAACTGCTGGCAGCTTCCCTGCACGGGAAGGAGGTGCACAAAGCCCCTGCCCCGAGGCCCCCTTCCAGGGCTGGCAGGGCAGAGGGGCTGGAGCAGGGCAAAAGCTGCCTGAGCTGGTCCCATGGAGGCGGTGCAGAGCGGGGGTCATTCTGGGGGGGTGCAGACATGGGGCAGCAGGCCCCGCGGGCTTTCTGCATGCTGCCTGTGCCAGCTCGGAGGCAGCCACATGGCCTGGAGCCCAGCCTGCGGGATGCCAGAGCAGGGCCAAAGGTGGGCAGTGAGAGTAGCCAGAGCTGCAGCTCGCCCGAGCGTGGATCAAGGTCACTGGGAAGGGGTAACCGCGTCCCCTGCAAGCCGGTGCATCCCCTACCTTCACACCCGCCATGCCCAGGGCTCCAGCAGCTCCCAGCACAGCTATTTACGACCT